CGTCGTGTTGATGCTGGCTGCTGCCTGTTGCCGATTGTCCTTCGTTTAGCGCCCTTTGCACTAACGAGCTATTCGCCTGCATTCGATTGTGTTCGCATGCGTACGTGAGCGGTCGTCGATGGGATTCGATCAGAATTCGATCAGGTTGTGCCGGACGAGACGAACGACGAGGCGGAACGAAAAAAAGAACAAAAAGAAAGAAGAAAAGGATAGTAGACGACTATAAGTGTTCGTGTCAGCTACTGCATGGCATGCGGATGTGCGTACTGCTAATTTGTACGTTGAGATGACGAACAGAAGAGAGAAAAAAGAAGGAAGACTCACCTCCTCGTGGCTCTGCTCGTGCTCGCTGTTGGCTAAACTTGACCGCGAGCCGCGTCTAGTGGAACTCTTCTCATCACCTAGCAGTTGCGCCACTCGCGCCTTGTTTACCAGCTCCAACGCCTATAAAAAGATAAAAACAAATGGCTGTATTATAAATTATATATTATTGCAATTCGAAAATTTGATTTTAGTTTCATTATATTCTTTTTCTAATTATTATATCAGTCCTAATTTATAAAATTTGGTTTTTACTTTTAGTAACTTGAAGGTTTAAATTTAAATTGATTATTTAACATATTAACTGTCAATGCCTTAAAGTCTTAAATAATGAACTCCTTCTCCCATCAATGAAGATAATAAAAAAATTCTAATTAATATCTTTTTACTCTATCGTTATTGTGTATGTCAAAAATATTATATATAGTCTTATAGTCTCTGAAAAAAAAAAATGTAGTTTTTCTTAAACTATGTGTATTAATTGATTATGTATAATTAATACACATTTTGTCATATCATGCATATAGTAGTTACTGAGTTAGTCTAAACTGAAATTGGAGCAATTAAAACATTTAATAAAAAAAGAAATAAAATAAAGTAAAATTTATTTCTGCAGAATGCAGATACCATGCAAGATTCTAGACTTGAAAAACTAAATTTAAGATCGTTAAGTAGCTTTTACTCACTTGCTGTACATGCTGCATATGGGAAATGTAAGAAATATTGTTAGTTATATTATTTATATGTGTATTCCTTTAATAAATACAAATGTTACCTCTCTTCGAGATCTCATGGCGCAGTCTTCAAGCGTTTCCGCGGCCTCATATTTGCCCTGCCTTCGATAAAGTGCGCCAAGATTCTTTAAAGTGGTAGTGACCGTGGGAGAATCCACCTTCGCAGCTTTGTGCCAACCGCCGTATTCGCCGTATGGTGTGTTCTCTTTGTTTCTGTGCTTATTTTCTTCCCTCTCTTCAGCTACCTAAAACAGAAGAAATCACAAAATCAATTCAAAAGTGATTAAAAACAGATTTTTTAAAAACTCGACAGAGAAAATGTATTGAGAATACACATTTAATTTTCTCAATTTTAGAATAAAATAAAACACTAGAAAAAAAATTATAACAGGAAAATACCGCTACATACCTTAAATTTTATGGTAATCTTTTTAGGCTCGAGATAATAAATCAATGATAACATTTGAGATAAAACAGAAAAGTATTATCATAAAGGTGAGTTTGAAAATTTTGCAACAACTTTTAGATATGATCAGATTTCTTAGAAGTTACATGTTGAATTGAACACACACACATAACTAATTATTTACAACAAACTATTTTTTTAAATATAAGAAGAAATTTTTTGTGATATATAAATTCCAAATTACAAGCGCTATAATCATTATTATAAGAGCATGAAAGGAATCGTTTTTGAAAAGGATATTATAATGAATAAAATATAAGTGACTATTTTCTTTCTTTTTATTTAAATGTAGGAACTTTTAGCTGCCGTTTCTATCTTCCGGAAAGACTTTAAAAAATTGAGCTTTTGTTTGCAGCTTTAACGACACTATACAGTACTGATTCATGTAGTACGTTCTCATAGTACCTGCCAGATTGGCTTGTTGTCGCCATCGATGGCGCCGAATTCTCTCTCATGTGCTCTAGTGAGCACCTGTTTGTATAGCACTTCGGCATCCTTGTATTTTCCTTGCTTCAAGTAACAAGATGCGAGATTATTTTTCGTTTTAGCGACGTTCGGATCGTCTGGACCTAGCTTAGCCTCGTAAATCTCGAGCGCACGCTGATAGTAGCGTTCCACCTCCTCGTACTTGCCCTGATTTTGACACAACAGTGCTAGATTATTTAACTGCTTCGCAACATCCGGATGATCGCGACCTAGCACCTTCTCGCGGATCTCCAACGCTCGCTTGCATAGAGGTTCAGCCTCTTTGTACTTCCCTCGTTTTCCGTATAGCACCGCCAGATTGTTCAGAGTCGCTGCCACTGCAGGATGATTCTCACCCAATGTTTTCTCTCGAATCGCTAACGCATCGTTCAAGAGATTCGCGGCCTCTTTGTATTTATTCTGATCTCGATATACGAGAGCAAGGATATTCAGCATGGTTGCCACATCAGGATGATCATGGCCGGAAGTCTTCTCCAAGTCTTCCAATGCTTGTTTGCATAAAGGAACTGCTACTTCATAACGGCCTTGACTTGCATACTGAATTACTAAATTATGCAATGTGCGCAGACGCGCCGGTATCTCGTAGCCAGCATTTACTTGTTGGGCAAACTGCGATGGCGGAGTCGGAGATATGGCTAAAAAGAGACAACAAAAATTTTTATTAACGAATAAAATGTTTTGCGTTAAACTCTTAATCGTCAAAAGTCATAATTATATAAAAAGAATTTCAATATTAAACTGATTTTATTTCAATTGATCTTATCATTTTATATATTTATTATTTCATAATTTTCTATTTATCATTATTCTAAAAAAATTACTTGCTCTTGTTTTTAATATTTATTGTTAATTTCTCATAAAAAAATGAAATTATTTTTGGAAAATATTTTTATATGTTTAGAAGTTTTATTTTTGCGATATTAGTCTAGAGTTCACCTACATTTGCTATTACGATCATCCGCATCATCATCCGGAAAGAGATCCACCACGGGATCGTCCTTTGGTCGATCCTTAGCGTTTTCATCCTCTGTCGACGGATCCGGATCATATTGCCGCATACTGGCCATGAAGTCTAAGTGCCTCTTTTCTTCTTCTAACTGAGCGACCTGCGAAATACACAATAGGAAATATAACAGACTTTCTAATTACAATGATGAACGAACAGTCTGGCAAACTCTCTCTTGAAAATGCGATTATTTTTTATGAAAACTATAAATTGTAGAACGCAGTAATTTGTGGAAGATTATTTTAGGATATATTCAAATTGATATTTCAAACAGATTTGACATAATTTTTAGAAAAAGTCCTTTTCTTTCATGTGGATTACAACACATGTATTTAGACTTTATATTGAAATTCGCTGTAACTATATAATATTATTCCTACCAATTTCATTTTTTAAATTGCATATTTATATGTATAAACTCGTACATATACATGTGAATTAAGATTCTTGAACTTGACAAAAGAAAAAAACACAAGAATATTTTTTTAAATAAATTTTCATACATTTATTTTATACAATTCAAAATATAGATAAAATGTGTTTCAAGGAAATCAGCGGGAGAAATCTTATATTTTATATTTATATATGTTTCGATTTAAATATAGTAGACGAGATTTCTTATTTTTTTCTTGAAATATATACGATGAATATTATTCTTCTTGTATTATATGTCGTTCAATATATACGATGGCCTTTGTCGCTTCGGCATGTTGCCTTCCTCATTGTATTCCAGCTGACGGTATGTCATCTCGCGAGATACCTGATGATGTCTTGATCTTTCAGGTCTCGGACCTAATGATTATCGACATTAGTTTTAGCAGCTTTTTTTATTGCAGGATTAATAATAACATCACAGCTTTACTTACAAATATTTTTTCTGTTAAATTCAGGACGCGTATTTCTTGAACTTGTCGAAGTAACGCTCGATATTGATGGCCGAACCTCACAAGACAAAGACATATTATTCTGCCTAATTTGGTCCAGTTCACGTTGCATTAACTCATTTTTACGTTTTTGAAAATCGAAGTTCCGTTGCAGCGATTCTTTTTCACGTCTCGTAGAATCGAGTTCTCGTTTCACGGACTCGATCTCTTCTATCAGCTCTTGTATCAACTTTTCCGTTGGTTGTTCTCCTCCTCTTTCTGCTAAATTGGCATTTCCTTCATTTGCATTGTCCGCTTCAACTGACAATTCAACATTTGCAAGAAATTCTGCAGGGTTCGGCTGATTCATTAGCTGATACCCTAACATATTTTGTAATCTCGATATGAGAGTCGCTTTATTGCCTTCTGTAAGTAATCCTCTAGATCGCAGCTTTTCTCTCAATGCTGATATAGTATAGTTGTTCAAGTTGTTCAAGTCCTCCATTATTTTCGTTTAATGTTTTCTAGCCCCCTGCTATTTAAGTAATCAAAACGTCACTTTCTCGTCAATGTTGTCATGTAATTTATCTTATTTTTCAATTTAGTATAAATATATATATGAAGCAATCCTGCTATGTCTCATATACACCATAACACAACAGCATTTTCTTCGAACAATTCAACTGGGAATTTTACATTTTAGTTTTAGGTTGAAAATTTTCCGTCTTGGTTTTAAATCGTAACTTTAAGATTCAATTTTACGCAGTAAAGAGTTTTGAATTTTGATATTAAAATACATACACAAATATATTATGTTTTTTAATTTACGTCCATATCACACATTTGTACATCCATTATTGTTATATAACTAGCTTCAATTTATACAACTAGCCACGTAATGGATAAATGCCTTCTTTTATAATTCCGTTCGATAACATTATCACTTATCACTAATCTCATATAATAGTATTATCATATTATCTTATATAATCATTTTCGATTTTTCTGTTATCATCGATTGTTATCATCGATGTTATAACTCGTCTTTTTTTGCTTATCATGATTTCGCACTGTTTTTTAGCAATAGGAATTGAATCCATTCAAAATCCACTTCAAATAATTCTATGACCGACTACATAAAATAATTAAACTGTTTAGATCAATAAAAAAACACTTGATTATTAAAAGAAAATATTCTTTTTCTTTATTCTCTTATATGTCATCTGTATAATCTAATGTCAAGAGATATGGAATAAATAGCATAGAGCAAATCGAACATTTTATCTAAATAATATAGCATAAAAATTCTGTAACTTAAAACGTGCCAAATAAGTTTTATTTTTTTATTTTAAGCAGAATTTTTAATTTGCGAAATTATCAAATATGTATTCTCTTTTTAAATATTAACCGCCTAGCACTTTTCTTATCGAAATTACGTCATTTTTAGTTGATATCTATATAATCATAAGTTGAAAGTCCTTGTGTAAATAGAATTTTATAAAAAAATAGATATAAAAAGTAAAATTAATTCATTATTTTGCATTAGATTAGAGCAAAAAGTTTATTGTTTTTTGTTAAGTTCTAAATAAAGTTATTAATTTCTGATTAATAAACAGATATAATGCAATGTTTCCGAATAAAAAGTTTTGATTGATCACATTTGGACAAAAATTCAGATGAAAGGTGTATTAAAGCCAACAATTATCTCACTATGATTAATAAGAATTACTTTGAAACTATAGAATGTTCCGCGAAAAAACCGATAAATTTCAATGTTTATTCAGAGCTACTTGCAAGTAAAAAAAGATCATATATGTGAGTCTATTTAATTCCATTACGTATACATTATTCGACTTAGGTAGGATATTCGATAAATATTATTTTAATATTTGTTACTTTCATTTTTCGACTGTTTTCGTGTCGATATTATCTAAATAATATGACTTTTACAAATATCATATGCTTTCCTCCCCCCTCTCTTTCTTTGTGTGTGTGTGTGTGTCTACCGAAATCTTACAAAAACTCATCACTCAAAATTATCGACTTAAAAAAAGAGGGATATATTTTTCTCTTCATTGTATTACACTTTCAACACTTTCTTAAAATTCTTACTTGTTTTTCTTTTTAATTTTTGCAACTGAATATACAAAATGTTTCAGAGACAAAGTAACGAAATTCTGTGTGGATATCTATGCTGAAGACGGACCAAAAAACGGTCGAAAATGTATATTTTTAATACACATTTATTACTAAAATTTAACTTGGCTTATATCTGCTACAATATAAGAGCAAAATTATCAAAGAAAGATTTTTTTTTTTTAATTCCCTAAATCTCAATAAAATTCTATAAGAATTCCCATATTTTTGCAGGTGCAAAAAAAAATTTCTGGGAGTTCCAGGTTTTCCAGGGAATTGACATCCTGTATATATTAATATAAGAAGCTCTCTATTTCGCAATCGAATATGGATATCTTATACTCGAATCCAGCAAAATCAGATCTAATCTTACAGGTGCCTAACAATTTTTTCCGTTAAATCCGTCCGCCGTTCTCTTCCCCAAATCACCATATTCCTATTATAGTTATATATTTTCGATTATAGCTATTTTATATAGTTTCAACCCCACATTATTCTAACCAGTAAGTATCTCTTGTATTTTTCGCACTTAATATGAAATAGCTGTGTATATATATCGCAGACAAATAAATAAAAAATATAAAATAAACAGAAGAAACTATATATATATATATAATTAAAAATATTAAAACGAACGCGTATCTACATTATAATTAGTTATAGTAATATAGAATTTGGAAAATCGTTTATACAGATATTATATACTTATATAAATGTGAATAAATCAATAAATTTAACAGAAAAGGAATTGCTAACTTGTAGGTCTGTAAAACTGCTGCTTTAAGTGCACTTTATTGATATCATTGCACAATCAAAAAATGAAAATACACTTCGTAAATACACGTTACTTTTTATCACTTTAAAGATGTGATTATACGAGGAATTTATGAAGAAATTATTGACAGAAAGATTGAGATAAGGAACATTTTATATGCTCTACTCACATTCTATAGGCGTTGAGCGTTTTTGACATATCCGTTCTACCCATCGATAACGGTGAACTCTGCCGCGCCTATTAATTTTACACCATATATAGATCTATGTACACAATGATCCTTTTTCTCTCGTGGACGTATATTAAGATACAAAAATGTCACTTAATTATCGGTACAACGGTTGTTCCATTAGATTTTAGCATATTTTATGTAAGAGAATATTTTAAAGATTTTTTGATGCAACTTTCTAAAATAAATTTGTTTATTGCATGCGTTTTCTAACGCTTTACACTCATATAAAATATAATATAACATAATATGAGAGCAAAATAATGAAAAAGAGAACTTTTTTCAGTTCCCCGAGTCCCAATAGAATTTCATGAGAATTCCCTGATTTTTCCAGGTACAAAAGAAATCCCTGAGAATTTCAAGTCTTCTATATTTTTCCAGGCAATAGACACTCCGTTAATAAATTAAAAGCGATTCTCTCGTGGACGTATATTGAGATACAAAAATGTCACTTAATTATCGGTACAAAAATATTGATAGTATATAAATATCTGCATATATGTACATAAATATATGTGTGTGTATAAACGGGAAGGGGATACATATACCCTGTCTGTATGTGTGTGTGTGTGTGTATGTGTAATTTCGATCGCTACGGGAACCGCAACGCGCGAGTTCGCGTTTAGTCTCTCACTGAAGGCTCGCCTTAGCTTACCCCCCTGTTGAATCCATCCCTACTCCAAAAAGGGTGCATAGTATCAGTGGGGGTGGAAAGTGAGCAACGCTTGCGCCATGATATCGTTCTTCTATTTCTATAAAATTCGCGCTGCAGAATTGCATAGATGAAATATATAAATTGCAATATTCTCAGAGCTACATGAATGGATTGATATTAAATCAATATATTATATATTAATATACATATATAAACGGTGTAAAGGATGTTCCCAAATCAAATACAGATAATATTTTATTGTGTGTGTGTTAGGTTTAAAATTTAAAAGGTGCTTAAAATTTTTTTTTAATTATTAAATTTTATTACTAAAGAATTTCAAGTCTTCTATATTTTTCCAGGCAATAGACACTCCGTTAATAAATTAAAAGCGATATATCAAAGGTACTTACAGCTTGTTCGCTCGCTTGCAACTTCTGTTGAGTACCAGCGAGTTCATCCCTCAGCCAGGCATTCTCCTGGCACAGCCTCTTCACTTGTGTCCTCAGCTTTTGCTTTTCCGCCTCCACCATTTGCAGATGACTCGCCAGCGCCTGCATTACCTGCGCCTCGCCTAAGCCCAAGTCGATCATTTCGATGATCTTGGATAACAGACTAGCCTTGTCGCGGGCAGCTGGTGCGTCTTGAGACTGCAAGCCCTGCAGCAAGCCACCGTGCTCGACTCGAAGAGCTTCCAGGCCTTGAGCGACTGTTCGTGCACCGGCTACGATTTCCTCCTGCGTCATCGCCGTCATTCTGCCTATGTTTTCGATTTTTTTACTGAAAATGAAAATAGAAGTTTATTTTTATTTACAAAAAAAGATTCTTTAAATTTTTTTTCTGCCTTTTATTTTCTATTATATAATTTTTAATATTTATGTTTTAGCAGAGAATACAAACTGCTAAACATCTAAAAGAAAAATGTAAATAGAAAATATTCGCTCTTATACATACACACATTCAGATATCCTATAACCTATACAAAATCAGAAATATTTAAATAGCACAGTTTTATTTTTTGCAATATGGCCGACAAGCGCCAAAGCGCTTCCGAGGTGTCGAGAAGGACATTGAAAACCAAAAGAGTACTCGGTCCCGAAAACTCTGATGACAGGACAACGTGAATAACTCGAACACGTAATCGACAACACTTGATCGAAGAGTCGCCGACAAAACGAAGAATGAGGATGAGGAGAGAGAAAACTTACCCCATGTCTTCAGGGCGGTATTAGAGCTGTCTATGTGCTGCTCTCTAAAACATGCGGTATCGTCGAGTCAATATTTCGACGTCGGCGCACTGCGATAAAGCGGCGCTCACGCCGTTCCGACAAAGCAGACACGGATACAGGACGATTCACGGGGAGATATATTTCGATATATTAATTAATCATCTTTATATCCTTATATCTTTGCATCATTAAACGAGGGAGAGAGATATTGGTTTCTAAATCTTATATTATTATATAAAATTGTATATATGACAATATAAAATTATTATAGAATTAATTATTATGTGTATGAAAAATATATTAGAAAATTAAATTTAAACATGATGTTAATAAAAAGCGTTATTAATTTACATTAACAAAAACTTTCGACTGATTTATTTCAGTGATATGACTAATGTAAGACTGATCATCAAAAAGGCGTTATGGAATTATCTTCAAAAAAGAACCCCGTATTTCCTTTAGAAACTATCGGTTATACAACTTTATGTAATACTTGGAAACTTAATGTTTATTTAATGCGCAGGAATTATGCATACACGAGTATTTTTATATTATAATTTTCTTTAATTTATTAGCGCGTGTAAAAAATATATCTAAATATATTTAGAATCTCTATATATAAATATATATACTATAAAACAAAGAAACTTTTCGTATAAAATGCTTATATTTGCATCCTGATATTTTTTACAAGTAATATATAACATAAATAGTATTTGATAAATAATGCTATTTATGTATATAAACTCTGCAATAAAATTAAAATTTATAAAAAACTTAACAAATCTAATATTAAATAAAAATAATTTAATCTAATTTTTTTAAATTTAATTTTCTTAGAAAATTAAAGAGAAATTTGAAAAACAGCTTTCGAATCAAAGAATTGTTATATTCTATCACAATTTTTTTGTTAATATATTTATATATTAACATTTTTTAGAAAATGATGAATACATAAATTATTTCATTAATAATTTCATTAATTGTTATGAATCTTAATTAGTACTCATGTTAACAGATAGTTTAAGTTTCATACATAAACAAATATTCAGAAGATTTACTGATTTGACAATTGCGTTATGCGACACCATGAATCAAGAAAAAAATGGATTGCGTCTTTATAAACTATTATTAACGTTATTTTGCCAAGAAAGTAAAAACAATTATTATTTTACTAATAGCCATCTGTCATTTACTTGAGTCACTGTCGGTGTCACTGTCAGTGACTTTTCATACAGTTTAATTTATACACGCGAGCGTGCATACATATATCGTCAAATTAAAATTATTATTATATTTTTTATTGCAACTTGTAACAAAAATGAATAAAATTAAATGTATAATAATTAACCGGTAATCCTCTATGTACACTAATTAGTTTCTATCAATTTTATATTTTGGATAAATTATATAATTATTAAAGATATATTGTTATACAATTATACATATATATAAACAGAAATCAATTATTGATTTTATCATTGTCATATCATGTTGATATTCTAGACAAAATCCTCAATGTATATATAATCAAATACATTAATCTTTGCATAATATATGTGTGTGTACTTTTTCTATGTGAGACTGATATTTTTTTGTATGAATTATGATTTTGTATAAATTATAACGTATAAATAATATGTGTGCATATATTATATGTATATTTACACACAAATGTATATATATAAAAATTTTTTTACCACATTGCAAAATCATCAGTATTTTTTACATTATATGTACATGTTTGTATGTGTGGAATATGGAAAACACAAATCATTTTAAGAGATTAGAACAAAGAAATATCTTTCTATTTTTTTAATATTTATGTGAAAAATACTAATACACACACGCGCACACACACACAAGATATTTTATTTTAATCAATACACTCAAATATTTTTAAAAGTAGTCTAGTAACACCAATAAAAAATTTTTTTTAAGTTAAACTTATGCTGTTTCAAACGAGAAAGCATGGCTTTATTCCAGATAAGAAGGCATCGTTGAATTTTAAAGTGTCACAAAAATATAAAATATCTCTTGTAAAATAAATTCACACTCCTTTATTAAAAAAAATTATTCGTTATATAAATTTTTCACAAGATAATTAGTAGAATTGATTGATGATTCTATATAACATCTATATTGCATCTGCAACGTATAATTGCATATTTTTATTAAATGCAATTATTTTATATTTTGTTTAATCTAATTATGTGGTTTTGTGATTATATTAATCAATTTATCTTATTCCGTGTAAAATTCTACATTACATATTCTGCATTATAAAGATAGTATAAAATATCATTAAAAAGTAAACTAGTAAGCATTAATAAAGTAGTTTATGAAATATTATATATTTCACGTCATATGTCAGAATACATTATAAGATATTTTGTAAATTATGGGGTTTTTCAATAATTCTATCTCAATACTTTTATATACAGAATAATGAGAAGAATCGATATGTACAAGAAAAATTATATTTTAATTGAAATAAATAAAAGCTGTCTTGAGAGCTTGGAAATGCCTCCTCACCTGAAACAAAACTATACTAATCACGGAATGCTCCTCATAAAATAGAGTAAATTCAATCTAAAACATTTTTCTTTAAATAATCCATGAATTGGAATGTATTGATATATCGATAATAATGAGAGACTTTAATATGTAAAATATATATTTGCTAGATCTGTTTATATTTATATTTATTTTGTTTATTTACATATTGAAAGAAACACACTTTTCACTTGTGTGTGTGTGTACATGTGTGTATTTTTTAATCACTGTTTCAATACAAAATAATTCATCGACATAATTAAATCCCAATTGACGTGATATATTACGTCAACCGCTTGATACTAGGTAATTACACACCTATATGATGTAATCCAAATTGTACAATAAAATAACAACAATCTACTCACTCTTGCGAATGGTCCATGCAAGATTGCCACCGCTTTGCTTCAATGTAGCATCCCACCGGCACGTGGATCGGGGAGACTGCTAAAATATCTCGGAGAAATCCTTAGAATATATATCCTGGGATATCTTTGAGAGGTCCTGCGGAGATCCTCGCCGAAAGAGACCGGTCTCTCTCTCTCTCTCTCTTTCTCTTGTGGGTCAAACCGTCAGAATTGTGGAGAATAAAAAATTGATTTTTACGCGGAACCAATACTGGAGCCTCGCAATTTCGGAGAAGATCACTCTTACGATTGTTTTCACGCGACAAAAATACAACAGAGATCTCGTTCTCTGAAACCGTTCTCGGGACAACGACAGACAAAAATGGCGAGACACAAGTACAGGTCTCGATCAGCAAATGTCATATGCCTTGCAAGGGCGAGCTTAGAGCAAGTACATCGCAATCACCGGTTGACGCGAAGACGCGCTCACGAAAAATCGGACGGAATGTCAGCGAGAGGAAACGTAATGTGTCGAGGAATCGCACTGTGCAAAATTATTGTGCGCGATAAGCCTCCCAACCGATCATAAAATCGCGACTGGAGCGACTCCATTACGTGTGGCGCTCGCAGCCAACTGGGCTGATATTCACAAGACGATTACTGAACCTTATGGCCTTATGGGAGGTTCTAATGGAGTCCGATATCCGATATACGGATATCAGAGAGAAGGTCACGCCCACCGTTTTTCGAAAGACGCCTTTTCTAGCTCGTACAGTAGCGTCAACTACATACATTTTAGAACCAGCGGAACTACATGGCCAGATTTACTTTTCGGTGCCACGGTAAAACGCGCCGGTTGGTGCACGTCCGTGCTAATTGTCAGTGGGTAAAGCAGATGCCTGCTAGATCTAGATCTCGGGTTCAATTCGGGTTGCAAGATTTCAAAAATTACATTTACGTGAATTGTTCATGTATTTTTTATATATTGCTTCCATATATTAATGTTTACACGAAAAAAGTCCATGGAAACATTATGTAGATTCTATCTTTTTTTTTATCAGTATAAAATCCAATTTATTGAATTCTTGATTCTTCGATTTTTTTTTTGTTACCATAAAGCATAAAATATTAAAATTGTCGTTATGCTTAAAGCTTAAACTATGGCTGTATTCCAATATTCATTGCCAGTACCGAAAATCTATAGTTTACATCATGTACACTATAGATCTTCAGTACTAGATCTTCGGAACGCAGCCTATGTATGTACAATATACTTCATAGATTACTCATTATTGACATAAATGACATATGTTAAACATAGTTTACATTACTTACACATAGACATAGGCTATTATATTTCATACGTAAATGCCCAATTCTGATTCGAACCTATCCTATGCCCTTGCATATAAGATAAACAGATATATTTGAGTGGTATTAATATCTCTCTATAAGACAAATCTGCTAATATAAAAGTTATAAAATTCTCACTGTAGTGGGAATTATAAAGAAAGCACTGGTAATGTCCCATTTGAAGATGGAAATTCAACAAAGAAAACTTTTACCCAACATCGATATATTTAATAACAAAATTTATTTTGTAACATTTATTTACTTTTGTTGTACTTTAAACAGTACCATTTATCTGGGAATTCATACGATTCTGCATAAGTAAAATCATCATTGACATAAGGCACATGCCAGCAGTCACCATTTTTTTGCACAGTTGGCATGTAAACGAAAGGTTCCTGAATATGTATACCGGTTGCGCTTTTCATTACAAAGTACTGATGCGAGCATTGCCATTTCCTAAATTCTCTTTGTAAGTGCATGTCTTTTAAAGAGTGCTTATGCTGTCGCATTAAATCCAATGACACAAATTTTGCATTCTTGCCACTTGATATGGTTGCATAAAGTAGGTAAGGATCATCAACAGACCTGAAATTTTATATATGTAATTTTATACATACATATTAAAAAATTATGCGTATAAAATTTTATTTTTTTATATTTTACTATTAATTATATATACAATAACGTTTTTACAAGAGTCCAGGAAACTGTATCTCCCTGAAATTCAATACTTACAGGTTGTCTGTCAAAAAGACAAGTGCACGCTGCTCTATGTATTTGAAAATAGGCAGCTTCTTCTGATGTTTTCGTGTTAACACAAGTATCTTTTGTCCACGTTTACTGAAGTAGTCAATCACTTTATTCAACTGTAATATAAACAATACATGTTCTTATAAATATATTGATTAATAAAATAAAATTAAAAAATGTAATAAAAGGAAAGTCCCTTTTCTCTCTATTAACAAGATATAGTATATTTCTAACACATAATATGTAAATAGTTATATGTATATAATATATATTAATCAAACGATGCGATAGCGTCGCGACGCCAAGTATATACTTTTATTCATTTATAATATATTTCTTATTACAACAAAAATGCTACCGTTTGTAATACAGGTGCATAATTATTTTGAATATAAGTCATATTGAGTCCATCAATCACTATGTCATAGGGTTTAGTTTCCTCAATGAATTTTTTAAATCTTTGCAATTCTTGCGGATTGGTCTTGCAGTAAATATCCGATCCTACAATCACCCTTTTCATGATAGACTCGGCTAGATCCCGAAAATTCTTTTCACTGAATGTTATCTCCAACAAGGAATGGCCACAATGTCTACAACTACCTCTAAACAGAAAAAACACACATCTAACTATGAAAATCCTAACTATTGATTTAAAATTCTAACTCTAATTATTAAAATCCTAATTATATTTCAGTAAAGTTTAAAATTTTATATAATTTTAATTACTAAAATCAAATAATTTTGTTAAGATTCTAACTTTAACTTTATTATGTTATATTTTTAAATTCTAAATTGTTAAAGAAGAAATTAAAATTAACATATTGAATAAAAATATAAAATAATGCTTACGTAGTGGAGATAGTAGTGGGTGCTGCAGACCAGCCATATTTGGTAGCTGCGTCAATATATGCACTTATGACACGATTATATGGCCTCATGCTGTGTTCAGCCCAAAATTTAAACATCTCTTCCATTCTATCATTAAAAATTTGTTCTTCTAGTTCGCAATATTGAAGATGTGATGTATATACGATATTTTGTGGAATTAGTTTGCGTGATGTTATTTCTAATAATGCTTTCCATGCAATGTCAGGTTTTCCATTTCTAAATGCTGCGCTAGCTAGTGCAGAATACACAGATGTACCTGGACTGGTAGTAATCTTCATCATTTCCATTATTTCATATGTTTTTTCCCACTGATCTGTTAAACACAAACTTACTACACAATGTTCAGCTGTAACAGAGTCCAGATATGGATGTTGCTTTCTTAAGGCATTATATGTTTCTACAATTTCTGTTTTATCAATATCAGTCAAGGACTTGCGTTTCAGAAAATAGAGTCTCAGATATTTTCCGATCACTGCCACATTCAGAGGATAATTGTTTTCTCTCAGATATTTAAAATATGCAATAGCTGTATCCACTTGAAAGTTTTTAAGACATATATCTATAATTGTGGAATCTACAATGGCTGGAGTGATTTGTTGAATTTGAAGAAATTTTTCTCGTATGCTCGCCCATTCTATATTTTCATTTGCCTTTATTTTCTTATAGATATCTGTGTTTTCTGCGATAATAACATTTAAGGGGATGGTTTTCCTAGAATTAGGAATATAGTCTAACAAAAAATATGCGCTTCTGTGAAATTTACAATGCCAGGACCATAATGGTCGGTATATTTTACAAAACATTCCCATTTATCTGAAAAAAGATTAACATTATTATTAAAAAATTATTTCATAATCATACAAAAACAACAGCACATATTTGTACTTGAGAAAACTATATGAACATTTCTTCTAATACAAAACTTTGAAAGACTAGCTCGGAAATAAAACGGATTTGTATATTTTTCAGACTTTATTACTTTATTTATCATATGTAAAACACACTCCTAAAAGTTTGATCTTTTATTTTTTAGAAATATCTTATATATAAATAATTTACATTTCATTATGATACATATGATAAATAAGGTAAAGTTGCTAACCTTATTGTACATAAGATATTATCTAATCCTAAAAATTCCATAAAAATCCATAAAAATTTTATTCAATAATATTAAGCCCATAAATATAATAAAAGATATAATTTGCGTGTTGAGGTTGTATTAAAATTTTCATGCCACTTTTATAAAAATTGTAATAGAAAAATGCACGCACAATTCTTAACCTTCTCGCGCATTGTGTCAAACAATTTACATATCCATAGATATATATATAGAATAGATTGGCTCCTGCCGTAAGAGGCAGCGTGGAAACATATGAAGGACAGCAAACCCCACGTCCCAGGTCTATCCTTTATATCTATAATTGCATTCGATGTTAGATGTACTTTTTAAAAATCTATAATCCACGTTGCATTGAATGTTAGATGGATGTGTGTGTAGGCATTACGGATGTTATTAAAATATTTATAAAGTGTATGTGTATTATATAAAATATTATAAAATGCGCCATTTAATTTTTATAAATGATAATATATAAAAATGATAAATATTTAAATATTGTGATATCTCTTGTAATATTGGTTTGAGCGTAAAAATAATGTTAATAGGAGTTTCTTTTATATCTCATCTTACGATGCTATCCAGAACTCTAAATAAAAAGCCGGAATTGCAAAGAAATTCCTCTCTTGAGACTTGAATTTTTCTTTATACTACATACGAAAAATTGTGATTATGAAATGCGAAGGTCTATTCTGTTTTATAATTATTACATTTTCCTATAGTTTTAACCATGTTCTTTCGAATTCGAAGGAGTTTTAATCATTAACAGCGTTGATTATAAAAAATGATAATATTTAAATATTGTGATATCTCTTGTAATATTGGTTTGAGCGTAAAAATAATGTTAATAGGAGTTTCTTTTATATCTCATCTTACGATGCTATCCAGAACTCTAAATAAAAAGCCGGAATTGCAAAGAAATTCCTCTCTTGAGACTTGAATTTTTCTTTATACTACATACGAAAAATTGTGATTATGAAATGCGAAGGTCTATTCTGTTTTATAATTATTACATTTTCCTATAGTTTTAACCATGTTCTTTCGAATTCGAAGGAGTTTTAATCATTAACAGCGTTGATTATTCTTTCACACACACACATAAGAAATAAAAAATCGCGATAACATGAAAATAAATCAAAAGCAGGTTTGATAAATTTTAATTATACTATTAATATCTCGTTTTATTTATACACAAAGGTTTTTTTTTTTAATTCTTTCCAACCTATGCAAATACTAAACATACAATTTGTCAAGTCAAACGTTAAAATTATTAAAATTATCAAGACAAGTAAAAATTGAAATTTTAAATAGAGTATGTATATAGAAAATTATGCGAAATAAAACAGAATAAAACAGCTAATTATACAATGGAAATTGGAAAAAAATGTGATTAAACTTTATTTTGCCTTGATCTGTAATTCTATAATTATTATATTATTTTTCATAGCTTAAATTTTTTTTTCTAAGGCTTAAATAAATAAATTTGAATAAATATTAACAAAAATATGTATAGTAGCATAATATCAGGAGAAACACAACACGACAAATTTTACTCATAATGTTATAAACAAACGATACTTACAATCTTTTATTTTTTTTTTAGTCTTTTTTATATTTTAAATAAAATATACGCAAAATAAGAAAAAAGGAGATAAAAGAAAAAGATTTAAAAAAGTATATAAATAGCCCACCAAAAAAATTCAAGTTAATATAGTGCAGAGATGAATGTATGCGTAAGAAAAAAAAAAGAGAACAGTTTCAAAGGGAAAAAAACTGTAACCCACAAAAATATTTAAAAATATATTAGCACAATAATTTTTTAAATACATTTAAAACTACTATTGTACAAAATCGCTCTCGTGCTCATTTAAAACTTTTCATTCTAAATCTTCTCAAAAATCAAATTTCGAGATTCGCATTTTTATAAATTGTTGTGTAGCATCAAGAAATTGTAGGTTTTAATGCGACAATTTAAACATTAAATATCTAATTTAAAAAATTGAAGAGCATTATAATGAACAGGTTGGTCTTGTAAAATTTCTTTTTCAGGATCTATTACAAATAGATTTTCATATTACACCATATTTTTTCTAAATCGACCTGTAGAGGTGCAGCACTGTTGGAAATTCGATGGTGAAGAAGAACGATCCGCGTTACCACCATATAATCAATAGGAGTCGGTAAAGAGAGGTTGTCTTCTCTCTCTTCCTTTCTAGGATTTTTATTATAAATCTATTCGTGACTACAATCAAAAAAATAAATTTCCCACAATATCGTGTTTCTTTGATAATTATGAATTTATATCGGAATCGATCTATATCATCACTGCAAAATAAAATAACCAATCAGTACTCTTTTCCGACCGTGCGAAAATTTTAGTCCGATTAAAAATCCTTCCGTTTGTTATATTTCTTATTTGCTTTGACAAATATGTTTATTACAAAATAGTTAAACATAACAGAAATATTCCAATTGAATCTGTTCGATCCTGTATGGTAGATACTTGAATATTTTAAGCTATTGGTCGAAGTCAAGTTTTCAGGCACTCGTAAACCTTGACCTCATCCAACAACTGATGGGCGAACCTGGCGACCTCGCGACAAGTTTATTTATTCAATTCTGATTTTCACTATTCAATAACTTTCAATGTCTGGCGAGTGATATTGATCTTGAATTAACGATGTTAAATCAACTAATTTAAATGATCCGCATTAGATTTATCGTCAAATTAATCATCCAAACACTATATAAACCATGATATAAAACAAAAAATACATAGAAGGAATCGTGATTCGAGTCTTAGAGCAATTCTGGAAATTATCCTGATGATGAATTTCGAAAGATACAAGGGAAGGGAAACCAGAAGCCATGAAGGGAAAAGGACAAATCCTTCACATACTTCTACACGATTATTCCCTTTTCAACTGCTTCTGCTCTGAGAATTATCTTCTATTTTTTTATATCATATATATATATATTTATATCAAATTTTATAAATAAAAAACTATTTATAAATTATTTTAAATTAGCATATAATTATTCTGATCTACATCGTCTGGAATTAATTGATTAATAAAGATAAATAAAAAAAAATAAAGTATTTCTTTTTTGCATCTATCTAAAAACTTAATTAATTAAAATTTTTTATTATAAAAAAAAATCTATATGAAATTTCATTTAGAAAAATATTAGAACTATTAAAAAAAAAAAAGTGAGAATAATCTAGAGGTAAAATATAAATCTTTCCTTTATTAATGCAATAAAAAGAAATTGTTTGATCAGCCTAATAAATTCTTGAGCTAATGTAACAACCATAAATAGATACATTTATCTCTATACATATCTATACATTAAATAAATTTATCTATACATCGTTCCTTATTGTCGTAACTGCAGTCAAAGTTTTGATTCATTTGATAAATGAAAAAGGAAGTAAGATATCGAAAGTGATGGAGACATTGCATGTTTACATAAGCACGCAATAGATTGAGAATTTCGATCCTGAAATGTAATGGTATTCATTACCGATAGAAAGAAGCTTTCCTCCCCCCTCTCTTTCTTTGTGTCTACCGAAATCTTACAAAAACTCATCACTCAAAATTATCGACTTAAAAAAAGAGGGATATATTTTTCTCTTCATTGTATTACACTTTCAACACTTTCTTAAAATTCTTACTTGTTTTTCTTTTTAATTTTTGCAACTGAATATACAAAATGTTTCAGAGACAAAGTAACGAAATTCTGTGTGGATATCTATGCTGAAGACGGACCAAAAAACGGTCGAAAATGTATATTTTTAATACACATTTATTACTAAAATTTAACTTGGCTTATATCTGCTACAATATAAGAGCAAAATTATCAAAGAAAGATTTTTTTTTTTTAATTCCCTAAATCTCAATAAAATTCTATAAGAATTCCCATATTTTTGCAGGTGCAAAAAAAATTTCTGGGAGTTCCAGGTTTTCCAGGGAATTGACATCCTGTATATATTAATATAAGAAGCTCTCTATTTCGATTATCTCGTACACGAAAATTGCATATATCTACATCTCGCTCTGAATATATATTAGTAGCTAGTTAAGATGCGATGTCGAAAAGTATATAATGATAATTTAGTATTTTTTATGCGATTCATTTCAGGTATTGCAAAATAAATGTATTATTAAACGATATATTACAGCTTTCTATTATGAATCATCCGGTAATTTGCGTATTCACGTTTTCGATTTGGAAATGATGAATTATTAAATAAGCGAAAAATTCGAAATAAAAAAAAAAAAACGAGAAAAAATATATCCAAGTGTATTTAAAGGAATAATTATCACAAGAAAATAGTTCATAATTTTTATTACTTGTCGGTTCGATTCTTGTTTAATAAAAATTTACGTGCGCGAAATACTGTTTCGATAAATAATATTTAATAAGATATAATGTGCGGATATCTATCTTTAATTTTAACTTATATTCACATCCCTATGCGAGATAGCAATTAAGATTTTCCTAAAACATGAGAGTGTATTCGTTAGCGAGAACTAACACTGCGGCAATGAATGAATTTAGATACGTGATTATGGAACGCGAAGCACGGATCATAATTTTTCTCCCATCGCAATATGATAAAGTCACGTGCTATTAATGTCGGGCGTGCTGTGTAATCGTCATATCTTAATAATTAGTACGCGAACGTAATTAATCGTATTTTTTCAAGTGAGTGAGATTTGAGTTCTCTAAAAAAGTAGCGAAAGATGAACAAAGAGAAGGGAGGAAACATCGGGTGACGATCAATTTAACATACCTTTTTAAAAGTGGATATCTCAATGAGAGCTGCTCATGGCATATTATTAGAATATTATATATGTATGTGTATTATATAAAATATTATAAAATGCGCCATTTAATTTTTATAAATGATAATATATAAAAATGATAAATATTTAAATATTGTGATATCTCTTGTAATATTGGTTTGAGCGTAAAAATAATGTTAATAGGAGTTTCTTTTATATCTCATCTTACGATGCTATCCAGAACTCTAAATAAAAAGCCGGAATTGCAAAGAAATTCCTCTCTTGAGACTTGAATTTTTCTTTATACTACATACGAAAAATTGTGATTATGAAATGCGAAGGTCTATTCTGTTTTATAATTATTACATTTTCCTATAGTTTTAACCATGTTCTTTCGAATTCGAAGGAGTTTTAATCATTAACAGCGTTGATTATTCTTTCACACACACACATAAGAAAATTACACAAAGATCTTTTAGCTAAATAGTAAGTATTAGCCGTTATTTGGCGATTCATGCGAATGGATGAATGAAAGTTTTGCGGGGATGGGATGATAAAAACAAATCAATCTATCAATTGAGTTAATCAATATATATAGTGCCTTGCGCTAGCATTCAGAGAAAGCATTCATTCAGAGCGCGGAGTATCTTTGTAAAGGAAGATTGGTGACGAAATACAGCAGATACGGCTGCTCATAGTGCTTATAACAGTAACATTGATTTATTCGCAATAATTATATAAAGTGGTTTCTCAATTGAAAAAATAATTATGGTAGGAAAAATATTATGCATATTGCTAAAAGCATTGATAATCAAGGAGGTATTCATACAGGCACTTCCGCAAGAGAATGTCGAAAATCGTCTTGTTTCGTTAATACGCATCTCGACGATCCGCAATGATAATAAGGACCTCGTACAGGTAAGAGATTGCTTGCGTATAATAAAAATAAGACTTTAAATTGCAGGTAATTTATCTGTATAACTGTAAATCTGTGTAATACACAATTAAATAAAATAGCTAATATCATTTGACAAATATCATCAGAATAACATCATTTGACGTCAAAATAACGTGCGCTTGCTATCTGGGAAGTTTGGACATTAAACTGAATGTTATAAAGAAAAAACAACAACAAGTTCTGAAAATCATGTTTTTTACATTTATAAGTAGATACAAAAAAAATTAATAAAAAATAAAGATTGAAGTAAAAAATAAGTGACATATTAAAAATTAACTTAACTGTAATACAAGTTTTTATAAATGTTATTTTTAACAAATGGTATCTTTAATCTTAACGTGTTGCTATTTATTTTCTATTTTAATCTCTTTCTCTCTTTCATGCACAAGTATAGTAACAATTGCTAATTCAGTGTATTTTTTATATAATTTCTAGTCACAAATTACATCCTTATTCTATTTAATATTTGTTTGTGAGATGATAATTATATATAAAGAATTATAATCATTTATATTTATGAAGTACAGTTATTCTCATACGTAAACTATTTTTTATTTAATCAGAAAAAAGCCTAAAATCTGCATTTCCTTGATCAAAAAAATTTTGTAAATAAAACTTATGCGATTAGAGATTAAATATTAAATATTTAAATATAAAAACTTTATTCATGAAAGATGTTAAAATTTACAATAAAAACGTAAGTATCAATGCGACAGGAAGTTGAATTAATAGAGAACCGCAAGTTAATTGAGGAGACGATGAGTAACCAATCGTGATAAACTCGAATTATTTTGTCAAATTGCTATGTCAATTGGAAAGAGCAACGCGTTCTAAGAATTATTTACCGAGAAAGATGACTATTAACTTCTATTAATATTTACTTTCGTCATTTACTTATAATATTTATTTTCATTATTTGCCGTGATTTATTTATATCATTATTTTTATAGAGAAAGTTTATATTCGACAAGCATTCAAGGAGAGACGGTTTTGAAATGATATCACCTTCTGGCTTTAATATATTAATAATTTCTGATAATGATGTCAGAAAAAAAGATCCACCTACAACTACTGAATCTATCAATGCTATAAATATACGTACGTATATAATGTTAATGTTAAGGATAATTTATTTAAAAAAATTGCATAATAATTTAACTTATATATATATCTAAAGAATTAAAGATGTTTTCCAATAGCAAGAAAAATATAAAATTTGTATTCTCATTTTTTGATCAATAAAATTATAAAAAGCGTTCATCGTTTTATATAATATAAAAGTTTTTATTTTGTTTGTTTAACAAGGTGATCCGAGCGTTCCTGGGACGCCTATGATAATAAAACCTCACAATTTTGTGTATAAGTTATATTGGGAGCCTGCGCGAATTACTGACCGTTCGCAAATTTTATATCGACTGGAAGGTTTCATCATTGACGACAATTACAAGCACGATAACATAATCAAGCACTGGAATTTATATTACAACGGAACAAATAATTATTGGATAATTCCTAATAAATACATGAATAAGAAGTATCAATTTCACGTGCAAGCTAAAAGCGTTTACGGTTTTGAATCGGCTTGGAATCAATCAAGCGTAATTGATTTAACAAAATCTACCAAAGAAATATTGACTACACAATATCACTTAACAATAATATTGGGCATTATCTCGATTGTTATTATGGTATTGACCTGCTATATCATCTATAGATTTTGTTTCAGTTGTGAGTATACTTACTTGGTATAAAGCTCGAGTTTTTGTGAGTCATATGTATACACGTCATGAATAGGCGAGAAGAAATTATATAATATTATTTATCTTTATTAAAAAATAAATATATACTATTTTTATACGAAATATAATATATATTTTCGATAATGCACAGTTTCCAAGATATTATAATTTTTATCAAACAAAATTGATTTAGAATAATGAAGAAAAATCCTCTATTTGAAAAAATTTTAATTTCATAATAATTTTTAGAGAGTTATTCATCCTTTTTTGAAAAATGTATCTTGTTAATAGAAAATAATTTAAGTTTAGACAATGCGTAACATTAGATAAATATATATTGTAATATTATCTGTCAACAGTATATCAACAAAAACAGCGCAAAAACAACAAAGATGCAATTTCATCTGTCACAATTCGGACACTGTCCGAATTAGCAGCTTTTCGAGAAATATCTGAGAATTTCGTTCAATCTAATCAATATGTTTCTACATTGCAATATGCTTCGGATTATTCCGCAGTACCTGAAATTAGACAAGAGCAAATTACAATGGGAATTTCCATAGGAAGCAGCACGTTCGGATATGTAAAAACTGATTTCTTTAATTATTAACTGATTTTTTAAATTGTTATTATCTATCTAGTATTTCAGTTATGAATATCTTTAATTCCTTAATCATGGAAAAATGTTGAGAGAAATACACTTTTTAATAAGAACAATTAGAGAATTAATTGTTTAAAGCTAAAAAATAAAAACAGGTTTATGCAATGCACTTTTATGTAAAAAACAAAATAAGGCGGGAAAGAATATTGTTTTATCATTAAAAAATGAAATTTATATTTATATGTATTTATATGTATATGTATATATTAATTTTCAATATATTTTTAGGTATTCAAAGGAAAAATAAAAGAGTTAGAAGGATCAGGCATAATGTCTGTCGCCATAAAAACGCTACGAAAAAATTCCTCCACGCGAGAAAAGACAATACTCTTACAAGAGGCTAAACTTATGAGTCAGCTTCGACACAAACATGTATTGAAATTGTTGGGCGTCTGCTTCGACACAGATCCGCCATTACTTGTATTGGAATTAATGGAGGCTGGTGACCTGTTGAACTATTTGAGAGATAGTCACTTTATCCAACTTACAGATTCGCATGCTTTGCGTTTGCAAGACTTGCTCGCTATATGCGAAGATGTTGCGCGGGGCTGTTGTTACTTGGAAGAGATGCATTTTGTGCATAGAGATCTAGCATGTCGAAATTGTTTCGTATCCGCAAAAAATCGCGAGAATCGCGTCATCAAAATCGGCGACTTCGGTCTTGCTAAAGATATTTATGAAGATGGTTATTATCAGGTGAGTTAAATATAATTTTTTAAAAAAGACAACAAATTTTAAGAAGTAAAAAATTAATCTCCTCAAGGATATTGTGACACATATGTATACATTAAGTTTTATATGTACATCAAGTTTTAATATATGAAATTATTTCACGAAGAATTAATTTTAACGCACAATAGCCATATACAGGGTGATTCAAAACAATCTGATGTCCTTAAAATGTCATATTTATGAGCGAATTCTGAGACGATTTTTCCTTTCACAAAATTTTATCCGAAGCTTAGTTTTTGAGTTATAATTTAAAATAGCTACTTACGGATCCGGTACAACGGGCAGGGACGGTGCAACGCATCACGAAACTAAAATATTTTATTGGTACATTATCACTGTGTTATATTATTTTTATTACTGATAAATATTTAAAAAACGGATACAAAATTTTATTAAATTTCATTTTTAATATAGCAGAAACTACATTTTGGCATAATAAATTAGTTTTTCATAATGCTTCAAAGATTTTTATATCTCTTATTAAATCAGAAAATTAAAATAAAGAAAATTTCAATGTAAATCAGCAACTTGAAAAACCGGCAAATATTAGAATAATATATAACAAATTCATTAATGCATAGGACACAAGCTAATACAAAAATGAATAACTAGGGCATGGGAATTAATTCATTAAAATGTTTCAGGAAGAAAGATCGCTGCCTATTCGTTGGATGTCACCGGAATCTTTAGTAGATGGAATATTTAATTCACAGAGCGATGTTTGGGCATTTGGGGTACTAATATGGGAAGTTACGTCGTTAGGCCAGCAACCTTATTTTGCCAAGAATAATATTGAAGTGGTGCATTATTTGCGTGAGGGTGGCAGGCTACTGAAACCCTTCAACTGTCCATCGACATTATATGAATTGATGTTGCGTTGCTGGAGCACAGCAAATGCCAGACCGAATTTCAAAGTTTGTCTCGAAAATATCGTCACTTTGAGAAGCAATGTAGATGATGCGATAATAGTACATATTGGACTAGCTGCCGAAGGTAAATCACCATTAATTCCTTTTTACGCGCATATCACTGCATGAAAATATTGTTTTATTTTATGACAAAGAAGTCTATTTTTTTTAATTTCACGAAAAAGTTTCTTAAGATATATATTTTACTATGAATTGTGCATATGATATGTATTTGTATAGATTGCTCTTGGAAATTCAACAGTTCCGAGGAAAACCGAGACAATCAACTTTCTTACCAAAGCTCAAACAACGCCAATATCACAACGACAGATGTTGATCATATCTATGAACGTTTACGAAGTACTCCGTTTAATTCGTATTTCGAATCAAAACTTGGCAAACATGAATCAAATGACTTTTATTAATTAGAATCGTGCAGCTTACTCATAGACATTATGAAGAAAATATGAAGATTTTAGTCATGTCGGAGAACTGCAACATGTTCAATGGCTCAAAATTATTGTAAAAACGACTGAGGAAGAACTTCTTGTTGTCTTTGAACGATTAAAATTAACCTAAATATAAAAGTACTATAATAAAAATATATACTATGACGAAAATTAGGTTGCCAAAAATACAAAAAACTCATTCGACTTGCAGAACAAAGACAAACGTAACTTTCGCGATAACGGTTATTGCAGTATATAATTTTCATAATTAACAATTTCAATTATGCTGAAAACATATTTTTGTTATCATAGCATTATCTTACATTTATTGTAATAATAACGCAAAAAAAAACAAAAATTTATATTTAAAGTCAATAATTATTACAATAATTTTATACTAGATTAAAAAAAAAATTTAGAGTTATGTATAAAAATGTAGATTAATCATTGCATATAATGCAAATTTAGCAATTAAAATGCAGAAACAATCGTGTAGTTACACATTTTAAATTCTCGCATAGAATTAAGACATATATAGTATGATTTTATATACAGTAATTGAAAGGAGAGATATACATATATAAAAAATATATATTCTCTAAAATACTAGTTTTATTTAATAAAAATTTTATATCATTAATATCTTCGAAAATATATATTCATCATATTTTATGTACTTTATTTTGCTAATAAATCCTGATTAAAACTATATATATGCTTTAAAATTATTTATTTTCACATAATATTTAATTTCTTTCTTATCGCGTGCGCGTGTGCGATATGAAATCTGGTTTTTTAAATTCTCTGTTGATTTTTCGAAATTAATTTTTTGTAAAATATTGAAATTGTATCGTTATGTCCAAATCATGTAGTTCAGTGGTTCTATATTATTATTTAGTCAATGGTTACGACATCGCTTGGCGGGGAGACCAACTCGCGCCGCTGGAGCGGCGATGATAGATGATAAAAGGAATAAAAGCGAGAACACGCTGATAAAGCGCAGATATCATGCGGCCGGGGTGATCCATGCGCTGCCGATTGCCGAGTGCATCGTTAGTTTTCGTTTCATTCGTGTCAATTCGTTTGCCTAAAATTAAATAACGCGTATTGTATTTTCCGAAAGTGTTAATTCAGCAGAGGTAACAAGCAGGATTGTCTCCTTCGCGAGGACAAAACAAGTAATAAGTAAGTAGAACATTCTGTACAACTTGTGATGTCACGCAAGCCATAATGTAATGTCACGAATCGCGTTGTAGCAGCGCGCGAATTTTAAATATGACCTATCTATACTCACTTTTCATCATTTTACTTTTTTATTTCGCATTATCTAATTTTAATATGGCATAATATATAATGAAAGTTTTTAACTTTATATCAGATGTGATGTCTTCCTTATGCTAAAAAAATTGTCAATAAATTATGTAAATTTTATCCAACGAAATTATACAATTATCAATCAAATCAAAACATATATCCTTTATTTGTATAAATTCTTCATTTTTTTTACTCTTTCAATTTATACAAATTTTTTTTTTGTCGGAGAACTGCAACATGTTCAATGGCTCAAAATTATTGTAAAAACGACTGAGGAAGAACTTCTTGTTGTCTTTGAACGATTAAAATTAACCTAAATATAAAAGTACTATAATAAAAATATATACTATGACGAAAATTAGGTTGCCAAAAATACAAAAAACTCATTCGACTTGCAGAACAAAGACAAACGTAACTTTCGCGATAACGGTTATTGCAGTATATAATTTTCATAATTAACAATTTCAATTATGCTGAAAACATATTTTTGTTATCATAGCATTATCTTACATTTATTGTAATAATAACGCAAAAAAAAACAAAAATTTATATTTAAAGTCAATAATTATTACAATAATTTTATACTAGATTAAAAAAAAAATTTAGAGTTATGTATAAAAATGTAGATTAATCATTGCATATAATGCAAATTTAGCAATTAAAATGCAGAAACAATCGTGTAGTTACACATTTTAAATTCTCGCATAGAATTAAGACATATATAGTATGATTTTATATACAGTAATTGAAAGGAGAGATATACATATATAAAAAATATATATTCTCTAAAATACTAGTTTTATTTAATAAAAATTTTATATCATTAATATCTTCGAAAATATATATTCATCATATTTTATGTACTTTATTTTGCTAATAAATCCTGATTAAAACTATATATATGCTTTAAAATTATTTATTTTCACATAATATTTAATTTCTTTCTTATCGCGTGCGCGTGTGCGATATGAAATCTGGTTTTTTAAATTCTCTGTTGATTTTTCGAAATTAATTTTTTGTAAAATATTGAAATTGTATCGTTATGTCCAAATCATGTAGTTCAGTGGTTCTATATTATTATTTAGTCAATGGTTACGACATCGCTTGGCGGGGAGACCAACTCGCGCCGCTGGAGCGGCGATGATAGATGATAAAAGGAATAAAAGCGAGAACACGCTGATAAAGCGCAGATATCATGCGGCCGGGGTGATCCATGCGCTGCCGATTGCCGAGTGCATCGTTAGTTTTCGTTTCATTCGTGTCAATTCGTTTGCCTAAAATTAAATAACGCGTATTGTATTTTCCGAAAGTGTTAATTCAGCAGAGGTAACAAGCAGGATTGTCTCCTTCGCGAGGACAAAACAAGTAATAAGTAAGTAGAACATTCTGTACAACTTGTGATGTCACGCAAGCCATAATGTAATGTCACGAATCGCGTTGTAGCAGCGCGCGAATTTTAAATATGACCTATCTATACTCACTTTTCATCATTTTACTTTTTTATTTCGCATTATCTAATTTTAATATGGCATAATATATAATGAAAGTTTTTAACTTTATATCAGATGTGATGTCTTCCTTATGCTAAAAAAATTGTCAATAAATTATGTAAATTTTATCCAACGAAATTATACAATTATCAATCAAATCAAAACATATATCCTTTATTTGTATAAATTCTTCATTTTTTTACTCTTTCAATTTATACAAATTTTTTTTTTGTCTTTGTTATCAAAATAATTATCACGTGAATTAGTTTCATAATAATGTAATAATTTTGTCACAATAACCATATTGATAATTGACTCCAAATTTATTGAATTAATTATAATTATAAAGACATTTGGTTGTACTGGAAAAAAACATTCTTCTTTTACATTATTTTTAATAAAATATTTGAATTTTTTTTTCACGCAAAGGAAATACCTAATTAACGAGAATTATTTACCATAACAACTTTCTGCTTTCTCAGAATCTTATCGATTTCTGATAATTAATCTGCATGCGTTGAACATATGATAATGACGTGGTGTATGTATGTACGTGCACGCGTGCGCGCGTGTATTTAACTATATAACTATGGTTAAAAAACATAAAGTAAAGAATATACATTTTATTTTTAATCACAAATAAATTTTTAAAAATATTTAAAAGTTATTTTACAACAATAATTATATGACTAATTATTATACTGTTTATATCAAAGTGAATATTCTTTCAAAATTGTTTATCGGCTCCTTATAATATGTCAATGAAGAATGATGAACGACGAAAAATACTTGGCCATTGTTTACACTTCGCTGTTCTTTCGTCATGTTTGCGTGATAATCTTTATGATAATGATGATGCAGTTTTATATAAAATTATCATTTCTTGATTATGTAAGCTTTCCTTTTTTTTAAAAACTGGGTACATATATATATATATGTATATATATCATATATATAAATCTAAAATCATATATTTCATTTTATTAATTTAATATTTTACTTTACTGCAAATTTTCAAAAGTTTTTTAATGCGTTCAATGTGTTATCATACGATCGACATAAAGAGTCAATAAAAGATTTTGGGAATATATATATATCATAAATATAAATCTATTAACACTAAACAAATTATGTGCGTATGTATGCGCGTAGATTCTTTGTAAATTTAGTCTTTCTACAAAAAGCATGCAATTTATAACATATACATATACACACATATAAATATTTAAATTTAAATATATGAGATGTCTTTATTCGAATAATTATTTGCTCATTTCAGCGTTATATAAATGAATATAAATGGATAAGAAGATTGAAATAAGTGAATGTTAAAGCTCAATTATGGAAAACTACACATCGGACTCCAGCGATTCGGATTCCAATCTGAGAACGTTGGATCTATCCTATCTGTCACTGGATGATGAAATAATGGATAAGCAATTCCTTAATACCAAATGCCCGGAGCACGTGGATACTTTATTATTGAGTCAGAACCGTCTCACAACTCTTCCTATCAGTATCAACAAGTTTACCAGCCTGAATTCCCTTGATATTTCGAATTGCGGCCTTGCTAAATTGCCAAATTTTTGGGAAGATTGCCCTTTGACTTGTTTGATCGCAAAACACAACAACCTGACCAATGATGGATTGGCTAAAGATTTTGAAAATTTGGCTAATTTAAGGGAACTCAATTTGAGCGGCAATAGGCTCACGGAGTTTCCTAATCAAGTGCTCGACCTAGCTGTTTTGAGATACCTTTACTTGGGTGGTAATCGTATCAATGAGATTACCAAGAATATCTGGAAACTACAAAGGTAACTACGATTTCTAATGATAATTAAAGTTTTAATGATTACAGCCAACATTATTAATGAATTAACAATTAATAAATTAATATACTAACTTTTTAAAATGTAGTTTATAAAACTCTTTAATTTTTAATTTTAAGCGCTTCTATAATCAAAAGCAATTTCCGAAATATTTTTGTAGAAAAAAGACATCTTAACGAAAAGATATAAATATATATTATATAGAGTTTGAAAATTGTTATAACATTAGAGAGAGAAAGAGAAAGAGTTTGAAATATATGTATAAAACTCAATTAATTTTTTCTATCATTTTAATTGCAATAATTTAAATAATTGTGCTTTGTTTATATCGTGTTTTATATAAAAGATAGTTTGTGTCAATTTCATAAAATCGGATATTATGATTTTTTAAAGGTTACGAGTTTTATCGATGGGAGACAATAGATTAACAGAGGTGCCGTGCACTCTCGGTCAGCTAAAAGCCCTGCAAGCTCTTGTGCTTTGCGATAATATGTTGGAGAGCTTGCCAAGCTCGATAGCCAATTTGACAAATCTAAAAACTTTATCGCTTCATAAGAACAGGCTGCGGACATTGCCTACTGAAATAATAACATTGAAATGTCTAACCGAGGTAAGTGTCACAAATAATGGTATTTCTAATTATTTTCTCTTACCTACGAGAGTTATTCGGAAATCACCTTCCGGTAAACTTGCTAAATAAAACAAGAAACAGAAAAAAATACATTTTATTATACATAAAAATTACATATATACACTATTTTTCCACATAATCGCTGTTCGAATTGAGACACTTATCGTAGCGCGGTACAAGCTTTTGTATGCCCTCATTAAAGTATGGTGCCGCCAAATTAGAATCTCAATTTGGATGGTAATTATGTCGATTAAGTAGTGTATATATGTAAGTAATTTTTTAGGCATATATTTAGGAACTCCCTGTATAAATCAACAAATAAATCTATGTAACAAATACATTTTATATACTTTTCCTAGTTATCTCTCCGAGACAATCCGCTGGTGGTGGGATTTGTATCCGATATGACGCATGATCCGCCGTCATTATTGGAATTAGCAGCGCGTGTCATCAAGACCAACGACGTTCGCTACGACGATGAGAGTTTACCACGCAACCTAGTGCAGTACCTTAATAGCGCTCATCATTGTGTCAATCCCAAATGCAAGGGTCAGTATTTTTGAGCAGGGCAATAATTCATTATAAATGTAATATAATCGATTTCCTCCATTCTAAGAACTTTAGATTTCTCTTCTATCCCAAATCAATTTTTTTTTTACTAAAAATTTCTTCATATGTTGTTTTCCTACATACATATTTGTATTTGCAACATAATTACGTTACCTTAGAATGAGAAAGCAAGTAAAAGATAAAGAGACTTACAACATTTTTATTCTACGCATATCCTATCAGTAGAAGAAATGTATCTGTATGAATAAAAAGAAATTTATATATAAAGGATAAAGTTTAAACTATATTATAAATATATATCTATCTCTGATGTTTATATATTCAATGTCTTAACAAAATATTGAATATGCAGTACATATCTTTTATTGTAATTTTTAGTGATCAAAAAATGAAAATGTTATGCAAGCGGAAAATGTTTATGTCACGAAAGTTGTTCAGTTTTTTTTTTTTTTATATACATTTTCACTTGAAACTTAACTCTGTTTTGTCTTCATATGAGTGAAAAATGTTAGAAAACGCATACTAAAAAGACTTATTTTAGAAAGTTGCACCAAAAAATCTTTAAAAAATATTCTCTTTACCTAGAATTTTGAACAAAAATATCTGGAAGATTAGGGAATTTTCAGGAAATGTTTTTATAAGATTTGAGTAAACACCCTATGATAATATAACATTAAGGATACCTTAGTTTTTAAAGTACTCTCGTATTTCCTTCACAGTTTTATACACTTTTTACAACACTTGACAAATTTTCAAAAATGTGCAACACAGTAAATTTGAAATTATCAAATTTATATAACATTTTTGATCAGACCTTGTATATATGTATATCAAGACCAATCCATTTTTTTGTGCAGGCGTTTTCTTCAATAATCGCGTGGAGCACATCAAGTTCGTTGATTTCTGTGGCAAGTATCGCTTACCGCTGCTACAATACTTATGTAGCAGCAAATGCATTGAATTACGCGATAACGATGAGGAGCTCGTGAGCGGTGCCATGATTAGGAAGGTACTTCTCGGCTAATGAGATCTTGAAGATATATTTCTGTAATGCTGAAAATTTTCAAGACTATTTCACCATCATTTTTCTTCACTGAGAAAGTTAATTTTTACTTCCGAAAATCTGCTTGTGTTTTTATCAATAATATAAGACCTATAGACATATATAAGGGAGTAAAAATGTGTGCTGCAGTACGTTGGATATTACATAAATCTATAAAGACGTATATAATGCGTCTTATATAAATATTTGTTTTGTCTTTTTCTGTACATCAAGTATATAGTATATATCACAGTGATACATATACGTACACACGCAAAATTATTCTGTGTGCGGTAATACACTGAATGACAAGAATTGAGCGGCGATTAACATTATTGTTAATATTTTATTGTGTTAAATAAACCACAAAATGTACAATAATAATATTATTATATATAAGGTGACTCCGCCGTGACTGACAGTGCGGCGGTTTCGCGCAATCTTTTCTCGCTTAAACACATCCAGAGTAAAGTTATATTATAAGATATTTGCCATCATCGTCATCACGATTAATGCGTTTTTGCGTCGTCATGTCTTGTAAAACTAAAAACAACATTCAAGAGAAAGATAAAACCTAGAGGAGGAATAGCGAAATGAGAACGGTAGGTAAAGATGTGTGTTCTTGTGTGTATTTATAATTATTTATATATATATATTTATAGGACATTGCAATTATGTATATATATAATAATTGTAAACATAGCAATCGTGTAATAAGAGTCTTACTACTTTTTTCTTTACTTTTCTTCTCACCGTGTAGTACAGTGTGTAATCATATAATTAATTACCTATACATACATATACATATCTATATATATATATATATGCGTTTTATTTATATATTACATACATATATATGTATGTACATGCCTCTCTCTTTTTTTCGTTCAAACGCACTTTTATTTCCACGTACACACACACACACATACGTGCGCTCATAATCTCTCACACCTATTCACGACATTTGAATTAGCGCGTTTTTATCGTATAGGCGTGGTGATAACTAGCACTACTCCGTTTACTTCTTTTTTGTAATTTTTTTTTATTTAACTGTGTAGTAAATATTTTTGTCGCTTACGTGCTTACGTACGCGCGCGTTTCGCTCTATGTATATTAAACAATTTTTCCCTAATATCGTACATTCATGAATTTTAAACATTAAGGACTTACTGCGCCTGCACGGTCGAAGATGTTATCTCGATTTATCATTTTATTCGTCCGTCATATCGTCATCGTGTCCATCCCGACCGGCGCGCGATGTGATCTGCATCATCGTCTGTCTTCTTCTATTATTCGCCATCTACTACTTGCTGCTCCTGATGACCTTCCTGCTCCTTCGCCTCCTTAGCATCTTTGTCCTCATCTAAAATGCGATATTGAGGAGTGTAAAAAAAAGATCCGGTCGCGAAGTTATTTTTTTTATGATGTGTTTCTTCTTTAATACAAATAAAAAAATTAAATACATAAAATGTTTTATATATTAATTGGCAATACATATATTTTTTCTCTTTAACTTCTTTATTTATTTTTGTAAATTATTACTTATTCTCTGTATATCAAAATTTTTCTAGAAATTTTATGTTATAATCTAAAATTTGTTATATTATTATTATTATTATTAAATAAAATTATTTCATATTTTTATTTTGTGTGATAAATCGCTTGCACAAATTACTTAATAAATATAAATAAATTTATTATTTAAAGTACTAGTTTCTAAATGGAACAAAAATTAGATATTTAAAGTTGCAAAAACTTTTATTTATTAAGACATACAAAAAAAAATAAAAAATTTCTTTTTGATTTTATCACGATTTTTCAAGAATGAATAAAAAGAAGATCTACTTTGTCATGTAAATAAAATAAAAGAGTCGAGAAATTTCAAATTTCGATTTCAAAAAATTTGTTTTCCCCTCCTTTTTATCAATAAATTTTTTCCTTCTATTTCAGATCTTCAATCAATAAAAAAATTATTTAAAAAAGGATTGGTTACATCTTAAAACTTTGCCTGTAGGCCATTGAATCGTGGTAAAACAAAAAAAAAACTTTTTATTACTCTGTATATCTTAATAAACAAACCTTTTTGCAATTTGAAACATCTCATTTTTTCCCGTAAATCCATGTAGAAACAGTGTTCTAAACAATAAACTAATTTATATTTGCTGAGTATGTCGCAAGCGATTCTATCGCATCTATTTTTTTGCGTCTTTAGATATATTCCCCTTAAAGAAGTTTTCAGATTTAATATTATTATTAAAAATATGTAAAAATTTTAAAAAGTATAACAGCAAATAGTCTTCCTTTGATATTTTTGCTTAGCGAAAGAATTTTGAAAATTTTGAAATTATTATTCCGTCTTAATTTATATGTAATATAAGAGACATTATTCTAGATAAGTTATGATACTTGATAGCACTTCATTTTTAATTTTGATAAATTTTAATTTGCATTTCTGTGAAAAAATCCATATATAATCAAATATAAATATGTATAAGTATGCACATAAAATATATTCTATGTATATATGTATATATATATATATATAAGAAAAATAAATGCAATAGCTAAACAACTGCGATACAATCTAATATTCCGTAATGCATAATTCAAATATACGATTAACGTGTAGTATCGTGTGGGAATAAAATCTTAATTAACAGTAGTACTGGTCGACCACAAAACC